AATTAAATTAAAAATAAATTTAAATATAATTCTAAATATATCACTTAGTTTTCTACATCACAAGTACAATTCAGAATCTATAACAATAAAAATGTCTATATAATTATAATAAGGATAATTTTATGCGAAAAATCAAGAAAATAAAATTAATTTTCCATCTAAAATTCTGAAAACTTTAAATTTTATTAATGTCTCTACTATGTATATATCTTTGCCTTTTTATTTATTAAGCATTACAGCAGAATAAAGCTAATATGTTAAATTTAAGATTAGATTATAATGAATTACATTATAAAAATTTTCTATATGGTTATATATAACAGAAAAAAAAGCAACTATTTTTCACAATTAATTTTTAACTGCTTTTTACGCTGCAATATTTTAGTACCTAACAATTTTAAAAGTATATAAAATAAATAGAAAACAAAAATCTGTATAATTTTTAAAGTTTCTTCTAAAAATCCTGCATAGCATAGAGACCATCTAATTATAATGAATTCTTATATAACATTATATGAAAGCAAAAATTGAATAGAAAATTATTTGAGGTGCCTTGCTATACATAAATAGCTGTTGTTTTCATATAATGAAAAAGTTTTGTATACTTAAAAATATCTAAAAACCAAATCAAAAAAATAAATATATATAAATATATTTATATATTTTATGTACCTATATAATAATATATATTGTCCTTTTTTCGCTATTTATTCTGTAATATTCCCACGTAAACATAGAATAACCGAGAAAATAAAAACAAGTAAAAACGTTTCAGTCGGTATGAACCGATTGAATTATACCCTGCACCTTTCATTGTTGTATAGCAATTACTCAAACCTGTGAAACCATTCTATAGAAACTTCACGGATATGTCTGATCTATAACTGAACACACAACTACCAAGTTTCGTGAATCTGTCTTTATTACTTTTCCAAATATTTAAAATAAGCTTTTGGATTTGTATGGGAGCCACTCGAACCTGTCAAGCAATTCCACCAAAACTTCAGAAATATTTTTGACCTATAATTGGACACACAACTGCCAAGTTTCATGAATCTGTCTTTATTACTTTTCCAAATATTTAAAATAAGCTTTTGGACTTGTATGGGAGCCACTCGAACCTGTCAAGCAATTCCACCAAAACTTCAGAAATATCTTTGACCTATAATTGGACACACAACTGCCAAGTTTCATTAATCTGACTTTATTATTCTTCAAATATTTAAAATAAGCTTTTAGACTTGTATGGGAGCTACTCGAACCTGTCAAGCAATTCCATCAAAACTTCAGAAATATATTTGACCTATATTCGGACACACGACTGCCAAGTTTCATGAATCTGACTTTATTATTTTGCCGAATATTTAAAATTAGCTTCTGGAGTTGTATGGCAGGTACCCGAACCTGTCAAGCAATTCCATCAAAACTTCAGAAATATATTTGACCTATAATTGGACACACGACTGCCAAGTTTCATGAATCTGACTTTATTATTTTGCCGAATATAAAAAATTTGCTTTTGGAGTTGTATGGCAGCTACCCGAACCCGTTGTCCGAATTGGTCCAATAACAATAGGGTTCGTCCTTGGCACAAAAGAAGCAACTTGTGAAAGTTTGGTGTCGATTGCATTATTCGTTTTTGAGTTATCGTGCGATCGGACGGACGGACGGACGGACGGACGGACGGACGGACGGACGGACATGTCTAAATCAACGCAGAATTTTACGCTGAGCAAGAATATATATATATGTCCATACCCCAGATGACTCCTTCAAGTAGTTACAAACTCCATACCAAAGTTAATATACCCTTCACGAAGTGCAGGGTATAAAAAAAGGACAACAAAATACGTAAACTATTACAAAATTTATAAAACTTATTTTCTAAATTTTCATTTAACTACACATACAATAATATTATATTGTGTATAATACTTATAAAAAAATATATTATATAATCATGTATAACACATGTTTACGAAACAAATTTTCTATACAAATTTTTGTACATATATCTATGTATGTATATATATATATACTTATAAATAGTTTCAATGCGCCCATATAAAAATATTATACAAGATGATGTAAGAGAAACTTAAAAGAACAAATCCGTGACTATTAATATTTATGAGACAATTTTCTTAACTTAACTATGTTGGTTTTTCTTTTCATTTTTTCTCTATATATATAGATTTTTCTTGTTTTCTTTTTCCTACTTAACTAAAATTTACTTTATACTATATATTTCTGTATATAATATAAAATACTTAAAGACATCCGCAAGGATAATAAAAATGAATTCATGAAAAATTATAAAATAAAAGCTTTAATTAAATTTTGTTTTCGTCGTCGTATAATGAAGCAAGAGAAAAAAAAATAATAACAAAATAAGAAAAAAAATATTGAAAAGACTGTAAAAACACGGAAATATTAAAGGTTTTTCTTTAGAAAATAGCGTATAACAGATTTTCATGTTTTCCTTGGATTTGCTTTTTTTTTTTTTTGGTTTTTTGTTGTGAAAAGGAAGGAAAAAAATTAAAGATCATGCATTTGGGATATTATAAAAAATATAAAAAAGGTAATTTCTCTTTGTATAAAAATTGAAGCGAATTTGGATTTTTGTACTTTGGTTCATTAACACAATAATAAAAATAAGAGAAAATTTTCATTTCAAAATATCAAGGATAATGAATGCAAATACATTTAATAAAAAGTTTAAGAGCAAAGTGACTATGATATTTTCAAAAAAATCTTATATACTAAAATTTAATCAAACATCAAAAAACTAATAAGGTTGAATTGCCATAAAAGTTATATTTAAGTTTCTATAAGAAGATTATAATTTACCTAATACATAGGATCAAATAAGAGCGGAATTAGTTTTTCTGCTTCTTCCTACACATTATTGATTCCAAATCAGAATTCATTTCTACATGTTTCATCCGTTTAACTACTATTTAAATTAATTTAGCCACAATTGTTTCAGCTATGCGTATTAGGTGCTAAGCGTGCTTCGTTCGGAGCCTTATAAATTTACCACTCCTTATTTTGAAATTACTATAAACCCATACTATTATACCTTAATAAAAATTAAATTAGCAAGGACGAGCTTAGAAATAAGGCGATTATTCTAAAATAATATTATTTGTGTTAATTTATCCATTATCACCCCTCATAGAATTTATGGCTTATCCATCATCATTCTTCTTAAAACATTTTTAGGGGAACAAAAAGATGCTACAATAAATCAGGAGTTGCTGCGGTGGCTTGGGGGGTTACTCTCGTCCTACTCGGTTCCCTTAAAATCTAAAAAAGGGAACAAAAGGACTGATGCTCCAAATTACATTAAAAATTCAAATACTTCATGAAAATTACAATTTTTTTTTTTGTAAATATAAAAGAATATTATACATTGATTGCAAAAAAGAGCGATTCAGTTCATATTTATAAAAAATGAGTTTATTTAGTCCACTTATTCATCTGTATTAATGTGTACTACATTACCGAATATACTACATTACTGAATCAAAAAATCATAAAAATATCATAGAGCAAAATAAGTAGGCAATCGTAATCAGGAAAATAATTTCTCAAAAAAAAAAATTTTTGTGTCAAAATCAATATTTTATTTTTTTTATAAGTAAACAAAATTTTAAATTCTATTTTAATAATTAATTTTTTTCTTTTTTTTTTTTTTTTTTCAATTTTTCAGATATGCTATAAACCAAAAAAAAAAAATTTACAAAATAATTAATTCAAATTTTAAGTAAAACAACAATATTAAGGATCATCAACAACAACTAGTATAATAGAAGATTAACATCGAAAAATAAAACCAAATTGAAAACTAAGAAAATTATTATACTCGTACCACATAAAAAAATTCATTCTTCATTTTATTCTTCCTGCAAATTCCAAATTCAACTAAAATATACGCTTTATCACTAAAAAATTTCTTATTTATTGAAAAATATATTATTTTATTAAATTATTATTTCCTAAATTTTAAAATTTTACTCAACATTAAAATAATAATATCAAATAAATTTGATAATAAATAATGAATAAAATATTAGTAAAATCTTAATAATATTTATATAACAAATAATTAACTAATATTTCAAGATTCTACCAGTACAGTATAATATTATTAAAATTTTGAGATTGATCTTATGCGATATAAAAAAATAGAAGAAATCAAGAACAACAGACCGGCAGAAAACAATAATTTAATATTCAAATAGAAAGTATAATAAAATTCAACCATATATAGATACGAGTAGCTAAAATATTTCAACAATAAATAAGGAAAATTTTCTATTCTACAAGCAAATTTAGAAACTTGAAGTGAAAATTTTTAAAATTATTAAAATAAACAATCACAACAAAAAAAAAAAACAGTATAATAATTAAATTATAATTGTTCTAATAAATGCATTTCAAATGATTATTTTCAAAAGATAATATTATATAACATAATTTAATTTATAGTCTTCATTTTGTATATATATACACATACATATATAGATATTATAATAGGTATATGAACAATCATATTATTATAATAGTTATGCTTGTATGTACTTAAAATTATTATTATAAATATTTTTATTAATTATATAAATTATATAAAATCTAATTTTGTGGAAAATAATATTTTTCAAAATTTTATAATTTTTCAACATAAAGGTACAAAAATTACCTATATATAAATTTTATAATATTATTTAAATAATTTTAATATTATTCACTTATTGTTTTTTTTTTATATTTTATTACTATTTTAATTTTGTTTATTCTATACATTCAGAATTTTGATTAAATTTTAAAATAGTGAACAAAAAATTCAATTTTTATCTTCATCCACCAATCTAATAATTTTTTTTTGTTTTTTTACTTTCATACTAACTGCTATTTATGCAACATTAAATTCTTTTAATATTTCATAAATTAATAATATTATATTATGTGCATTATTAGATTTTAATAAAAAAATATACAAAAAAGAATATATAGGAAGAAAAAAAAATCATCTATTCAAAGTGAAAATATTAAAATTTAAAACAAAAAACAATAAGAAAATAAAATCAAATAAATAAAAGATAACAAGGATACAAGGATAACAAGCACACAAATATAAACAAATAACAAACAAAAAAATATTAAAATTATTAAAAATAAATAGAAAATATAATATTGAAATATATTAATAATAATAAGTTTTTAATAATAGTTATAAAAAAAAATAATAAAGTAGGAAATAAATAATATAGAAAACAAAAATCATAACAAATAATAGCAAAAAAACAAAAAAAATTTAGGAAATAAAAATTTTTAAATGAATTATTATAAAATAATTTCAAAAACCTGATGATGGATCGTGCAATTTTATTTATTGGATTAATTGCAATTGCATTTTGTGGTTCTGTTAGCGGTGGTATTGGTAAGTTATATTTGATTTAATATTTTTTTTTTATTCTATCTATTATATTATTACTATATAGGAATATTATCTATATAATAAATTTATTATTATTTGTTTTTACATAAAAAAAATTTTTAAATTAAAAATACTAGATTGCGTTTTTTTTTTTGACATTATAACCAATATTGTTAAAAAATTTTGGGCAGACAGTTATTATTAAAATATTGTAAATGATGATATTTATATTTATTGCATATAGTTAGGTGCCTGACATTGATTTTGATGATTTAAATAATACGAGTATTATTTTTAAACAGCTTAAATGCACAATAAAGGAATTTTATTTGCAAAATATATTATGAAATTTTCTTAAATAAAATTTTAATAAAATAGTAATTAATGCCGCCATTTTAAATATAAATTAAGTAATTAATTAAAAAAAAAAAAAATAGTTGAATTTTATGCATCATACTTGTTTAATTGAAATACTTGAATATTGTAGTTATTTTTCAATTATAAAGGATTTTAGGGATATATGAATTCTAAAATCAAATTCCAATAGCTTCTATTATTACTTAAAAACTTATTTTAGGCTTAATTACAATAACCTATAGGCAAAAGAAAGCTACAAATAAGAAAACAAACATATATTGCATCAATACTTCAAAATAATAGCCATGATAGAAGGCAAATGTAGATATTTTTCCGAAACAAAAAAAATTTTTTTAAATCTTAAAACTGGTCAAACAATTAATTTAAAGAGGCAAGTAACCGCGTTACTTGATCCGTGTTCTAAGTAGGTACCGCCTTATTTGATTTATATATCTGTATGCTCTTATGAACTTGTCTCCTGTTCATTTTCATTTTAACTCCTTTATTACCTTCAAGTTATCTTCTGAAATTATGTGATCCGTTTCGTAAATATATTTCGCAACCATTGAATTGAAATACCTGTTAATTCTTACTCTCCTTATACGTTTTACCTCATTTAAATGTTATACTTAAGACTCGTTGTAACAGGTACCTTCGTTTAGCCTACGTAAAATTTGTCACAACCATTGCATTTGATTTTATATATCCCGCATTTTTCAAGCGCATCTCCTAAAAGCAATTAATTATGTTCATTTAAAAAATTCTAATTATATTAAGTAGTTCTAAATTAAAATTTTCAACATAAAACATTGGCAACTAAAATTATGTAACTGCATAGTCACTGATATCACTCATAAAATTTTACAAATTTCAAATTTTCAACAAATTCCATAAATACATACATACATATTGTATGCATGAATCAATAAAATTTATGTTCAATAAAATTTTGCTTTTACAATACAAATTTTTTTTTTCATAAACATGTAATTGAAATTCAAAGCTAAACACAAAAAAAAATACAGGAAATTATTTTAAATTGACTAAATATTTGATAAAAAAAAATAATGGCAATAAAAAAAAATATTATTAAATCAACAAGTAAATATTTAAAGAATTTAAAAAATTTACTGTACACTTTAAAATTTGCTATAATTAAGGTTTCAATATAAACGTTTTTTAATAGCGATGTTATTAACGGTAAATGATTGTATAGTTTAATTGTACTTACTTATAAAATTTATAGCTTTAATAATAAATTATTTTGTAATTATTGTTGTATAGCAAGATTGAATTTTGTATAGAATTATAGTATTTTAGTAACCCACTATAATTTAACTCCATTCCATTTTAAAGGATTAGTTTAGGTATTTTTGTAGAATATTTTTAAATGTAAAGAAATTGAGTATCTGCATCACTATTTGGATTTAATTTTGTCCATGAAAATAATATTTTTAATTCTCAGATTATACTGATTTCAATAAATTATGTCCTATATTATGGTTTAGCACTTTCGATTGATTTGAGCATATTCAAATACTCAAAATTTAATTGTGCATTAAATCAGTTAAGAGGAAATCATTCAGAATTCAATTTTTCTCTTAATTTATAAAGATTTCTAAAATCATGAACAATTTTCATTAAAATTATTAGAATTTAATTCTACAATTATAAGTCTTTGTGTAAAACTATTTACTAAAAATTTGTCCATTACATGTAGACAATTGTACCTATTGTAAAATACAAGAGAAAACACAAAAAGAAACCAAAACATGTACATGTCTACGTAATTATTTCCTTTTTAAATCTCATCCATTTTTTTTGAAACAAAAACAACAAAAGCAAACAACAAATTATTTCCAATTTATTGATCTGCGTAAAACCAAATCGAATAACAGTGCAACAAAATAACAAAGAAAAGAAAAATGTTCCTAATTGGCTTATAAAGTATCCAATTTTTATGCCATCCGTTTAAGTAGAAAAATTCTATTTAACTTTATACACAATTAATCCTCCAGCCCAATGAGTTTTTCGGAAGATATGCGACCATGTAAAAAATTATTTTTTTTTTTTCACTTTAAAATGATTTTTTCCACACCTTCTCCACTAATCTTACACCATATGTAAACGTTATACAGGAAAAAAAAAACAAAAAGTAAAATTACGAAAAGAATTTCATGTAATTTTTTTGTCAAAGAAAAAAAAAGATGTTTTCTTTTTCCACATAAGGCAACAATTGGTTTTTGTTTTTTTTTTTCCTATTTTTTTTCATTTACTTCTTGTTTTGATTTTTTTTCCGTATGTTTAACAAAAACATTACCTTCAACGATATTACAAAAAAAATTTTATCCAAATAAGAACAAAAATTTTTAATGACAATAATATGAAAATGAGATTCAGAAAAGAGAACAAGAGGAATAGAGCAAAGAGAGAGAGAAAGAGATGAAGTCAGAACTGAATAAAATCTTTGATTTTGGTTTCGGCTTTTTTACACATACTTCATACAACATCATATTATTATTGTGTTGTAATACTGTTTTGTATTATGTTTTGTTGTATGTTATCTTTAAGAGAGGAGCTTATCCATATATTACTTACCCACTCATGATAATCAAACATTGTTTCAACAGCGACCGACTAAATACTACTTTTTATCGCAAAATTCTAAATGTACCACACATAAAATGTGAAAAATATATAAAATAAATTTGGGTTAAACCAATGGTTTGTATTTTAGCACTTTTTCCTTCAACAAGTGAAAATTCTACTTTTAAATACAGTCTATGTATACCTATCAAACTATTAAAATTATTTTCATTCATATACAAAACTATTTCTAGGATTGCACATGTTCAGGATGAACGATTTATGCAGTCTTTGAAATAAAGCAAAAATTAATATAAAGTGGGGTTAACATAATGCTCGATTTTAAGGGTTAATAGTGTGAGTTAAGAAAAATAATTATATTTTTTAATGTCATGGAATTTACCGTTAACTTTTTGCGTTTATAGAAATTTGAAAAAACTTGCGGTTTCGGAAATATAAGGTGTCAAATATTCAAATTTTACGAATTTCAAGAGGCGATAACTTGAGAGGGGGTAGAGATGGAAAAAAATTTTTTTCGAATGAAATAAAGTATTTGTTAATGCCTAAAAACCCCTAAAATTTCAAGCTTCTAGAGGCAGGGGTCTAGAAGAAAAACGACATCAAAAATTTGAAAAAAAAGACTTTAGATAACGGTAAATTTGAACGGCCATTTTGTTTTTCTAAAGTTTAACTATAGTATACCGCGCAGTAAGTTTTGCAAACAGACACACGGACAGACGGACGGACAGAGTGAAACTAATAAGCACTTTTTTTCAAAAAACTTTTGGAAAAAAAAACAAAAAAAAAAAAAAAATAGGAGAAAATTTTCTGTACCCATTTTACTTCTTTGTATTTTTTCAGTTTCTTAACAAAAAAAAGAACCTTGTTTTGCCTTTTGTTTGTCCTTAAAAAAAAATCTTCCTTTTTTTACATTGTGTTGTATGCTATCGTCGTTTGTTGGTATCACAATAAGTATTGCTTCTCTTTATTATTGTTATTATTGTTGTTATTATTATTATTATATAAATATGTGTGTAAGTATGTAAGTATAGTAAATATAAATGGTTGTATTTTTGTGTCGTTTTATTTTCTATGTTACCATTGAATTCAATGTTCTAAAATCGTTAAAATCATTTCATTTAAAACGTGTTTATTTCCCTGTTTTCAATTTCATATTATACTTATACATTTTTCCGTAACATCAGCTACCTATATCCTTGTATTATATTATATAGGATAAGGATAATTTTTATATTATATTTTCCTTGTTAAACGGTATGATTTGGTTTTTATTCTGGTATGTTTTTTTTTTTTTTGCTGTTTTGATTTCCTATTGTTGTGAATATTTTTTTTTCTCTTTGTAATTTTGAATGAAGAAAAAAGGAAATGTTTTTACTTTCATGTAAAATATATACGCACACTTGTTTTTTTTTTTATCTCTTATATTTTTCTTCTGTTTTTCTTCTGTTTTTTTTCTGAAGTTTTTCGTATATAGTCTTTGGGTTTAGTTATTTTTCTTGTTTTTTGTTCTACTTTTATTATTTGTGTTGGCAACAGGAATTTTTTTGATAGATGAAAAAACAACAAAAAAGGAAATAAAATTTGGAAAGTAAAAAATGAAATCAAAACCAAGATCTAAGGAAACAACAGTAAAAACAAAATAAAAAAAAAATAAAAACAAAAAGCATTTCTAAATTTTCTGCCTATTTAACATTTTCACAAAAATGATGAGATAGTATAAATTTTATTTAAAACTTAAATGATAAATTGTTATATGTGAAAGATTTTATAATTTTAAAGAATGGCAAAATTTATTTTGAGTCCCCGTGAATGAAATTTTGATTTCTGTTTCTTTTATGTAAAATTTTTATATAAAAAGTCAAAGATTTATTGAATGAATTTAAGAAATGAATGGAGAACAAACATAACAAATGATTTTTTTAATTTTAAAATGAGTATAAAATTTGTATATTGAGCTGTAGAAATTAAATCAAGGCATATTTGGCTTTTTTCTTAAAGAACGTAAGAATTGTATTCCAGTCACTTAATACATCAGGAAA